TGCTAGTAGTTCTTCAACATGCTAGCTACAGCTGCAAATTCTGTGCTTGGTATGTTTGGGGCTGCTTTCGTGGAATTATTGATGTTGCCACCGATTATATTATGCAATTGTGGTATGGTTTGAATAGTAAACGATTATTGTCTCGCTAGGTTCTGCATTTAGCCTATACTGTTTGATGCCATTGTGTTACATGATTTGTAGTTCAGCATTGTTTCACTGGCTGAAGATGATTTTAGAGAATTTAAACTTTTAAAGTGGATTCCAGTTCTAATTTAAACCACAACTGTTTAGTGGCCACTCCACTGTAGGTTTGAGATGACTGCAGCCTGCGACTGCTAGAGATGAGTGTGTTGGGAGATGTTGGTTGGGTGTAGGGTTTCAAGTTCGTATTCATACAAGACAAAAACTACGTCCACTTAATGACAGTTGATATGTGAGTGAGGTTTCGTGGGAAAGACTTAGATATTATGAGTCTAATTGTATGTCTCTTTGCATGACAGGATTTTAAAAGCCCCTGTGGAGCCTTCAAATGAAAAAGAGGGAAAGAGAGGGAGAGAACAAGCTGAACTAATAAAGTACAGATTATATATCCATAAGTGATTTTTAGATAGAGATAGATAAGATAGATAGATAAGATAGATAGATAGATGATAGTGATATAGAAAGTAGATAATAAGAATATAATTTTATTTTCCAAGCCTGGAAAATTACAGTGTAGGCAAAGGAGCATTACACAAGTGAACAACACAAGGGAATTAGAGAATAAAAATGCAATATTTAGGATGCAGTGAAAACAAATACCATTATGTAAAAAAACACCAGTTATAAGGCTTGGAGACGTGTATTGTGTAATACCGAACTTATTATTGTTATTGTAAAGGTGTGAATAAGCATGTTGAGGAAAGAACCTTTCCTGTATTCTGGTTCCTTGTGAAGAGAAAGGCTGCTCCGCTGTCCTGACCACTTGTGTCGATGCAGAGGGTTGCTGATTCATTGTTCATGTAGAATAAATAGATAGATAGATAGGGAATAACAGTTTTATTTCAGCGTTCTTCCTTCCACCACGGGAACTCAAAAAGACTCCAGCCTTGGGAACCATTTACAGAAGCCTTTTGATGATTTAATTCGAGTCTGTTCTTTTTTTTTTTGGCTTCTTTTTGGTCTGGGTTTTCTTTGTTTGTGTCGTGCTCTGATGCTGCTTGCCTGCACCACACAGCAGGGAAGAAAAATGGCGTGGAACAAACAGACTGTAAAATCTTCAAATCTGCTGCACACGTTGAAGGATCTCTTCTCTGGAAAAACGGAAATAGAGTCTGCTCATCCCCTTCTTGTATACAGCCTCGGTGTCGATCACCACTCCCAAGTATTTGTAGTCCTTCACCTCCTCCACCACCTCCCCCTGATCCGTAGTGGCTGTGAAGGCATTATGATGATAGGCAGCCAAAGGGGTATTGTTGTTGTTGTGGTCTTGATAATCTGCATTAGACTTGGTTATGACATTGGCGATTTACAACGTGTTAGGGTTAAAAAAAAAAGCTCCTTTGTCAGTATTTCATTGACATCAGGTGTAGCAGACCTCTCAGGAGGTGCTGCTGGTAGTAAACTGCATTTCAGATTTAGTCATTTGTTCTAAGCTTGTTCCATCCAAACCTTTGTTTCTGGCCAAAATAGTCAGTCTGAATTATGGCAAAAATAAGTATTTTACTTTGTGTAAGCATTACATAGCTTCAATTAGACTGCTGGAAAATGTTATATAAAGTATGTGATATTGTCAGTGTGTAACTTTAAAGCTAGGTAAGGTTAAATTTAGGGAGTTTAGGGAGTTCAGGAGGTGGAAATACTCCCAAACAATTAAGAGCTGACTCCACTTGCTCTTAATGATTACCTGATCGGCTGAGCGCTGCCGTGCCTCACTCAAACAGGGCTTAAGGTGGAACGTTCACACTGACCAGGTCAATGGAAGAGATCTCCAGCCGTGAATAAAACAGCCTTTAAAGGAGGATTTTCTGGGCTGAATGAGTTCTGCACTGCTGTGACAGCAACCTTTTCCTAGTGTGGAGGCCGATTCCCAGTCCTCTCTATCTGTGCGGAGATGAAGGCATAATGTGCTGTCCTGCTGGAGCAGATGGGAGCCTCATTCAAAGGCACCTTGACATTAGATGTTCAGCCAGGGATGGACACATTGCCTCCGCTTCTGGGAATGTGCATGCCTACGAGTGCGTGTCACTTGGCCTATATATTTAATGCGTGATACATGTTGTAGACGCACGTTCATGCTTGGGTCAAATGTTCCTCTAGCTCATCTGTATGTATGCATTGAGTTTGTATTAAGCTTTGATTACAGCTCTAATGAAGACAGTTTGACTTTTAAATTATAGCATGATTGATTAGAGGTTAACCTGAATTGATTCTTCTGGGAAATTGTGATGGAATTCTACACAAGTCAAGTCTTTTTTTTCCTAACAACTACTGGCAGCCTCATTCTAAAATATATCAGCCTTTGAAAAGCTGCACCAGTTAAACCAGAGTTTGTACAGTACTACTATATGTTAATTAAGACCAGATTGCTCACTTCTCTTATTAGCAGAGGACAGCAGGGAAAGGTTGTCCTGGCACATGACATTAGCAGCTTAATGACGACACAGATGAGCAAATTTCCCAACAGAGCCTTTCAAGAGGATCTCGAGCTCATAATTCGATAGAAACACGTGAAACTACAGTGGCTACAAAAGTCTTGAAAAGCTCAAACCGCCCTATAGAACCAGTGTGTGGTTTGTCCGTTCTGGGCTACNNGTTCAACATGGTGGACTCTGTAGACGAGGACCTGCCCCCTGTGTAGATAAGAACGGTTCATTCTTAGGTAATAAAAGATCCTCATGGTTTTATGGTAGAGATGAGATATTTCTACTTTCACTTCTTCTCAGTCAATGCAAACTCAAAACTTCCTCCATGTTTACCTGTTGTCTTTAAAAATTAAGTACATTTGCTGTACTGATGGAATTAGTGCTGTAGAAGAGTCAGATCCTACTCAGCTCTCTGCTGCTCTGTTTCTTCTTCTTCTTCTCTTACCATTGGAGCAAGAGGAACCTGATTTTTTAACAGATTATCTATCTCACTCGCTACCATCAGGATATAGTTTCAGCTAATATGACAAAAAATATCTTTATAAAAATGTACCTACTGCAGCTTTAAAAGTCTTCCAGCTTTCTTCTAATTGGTAGGCACCACACTATTGTATAGCATTTAGTACCATCTAGTGGTGAAGTTGTAGATTGTAACCAACTGAAAGCAGCACAGCCTTCCAAGTGGGTAGGCAAAACTACTACTACTACTACTACTAAGAGCTCATTCTAAGGTAACAAAAACACAATCATTCTTATTTTCAGGTGATTATACACTTATGAAAACATACCTAAGAATAATATATTTCATTTCTGCCAATAGACCATCCTCAATGTTACACACTGGACCTTTTTAAAGTGACCATAAAAACAGAGACCATGGCCCTGACCTTCATTTGGTGTATACACAACTATATACTCCAGCAAATGGGCAACTCCAACAAACTCACTGTCACATTATAATAAATGTGAACGGTGAACATTCAGGTAAAATGGCCTTAATGACCAGACCATCAGAAAACCAATTTGCGTAAATTGGCATCCCTAGCAAGGAGCATCCACCTATTATTTGGCCAACTGCGTGAAAGCGCAGCAGTGTTTTCCGCACAGTCAGCTGTTGTCTTACAGCCATGATGCATAGTAGCTGTTATCCAGGCCACTGTGCTACTAAACGTGGGTCTCAATGTTTGTGGTCACTGAGGGTGTGGTGTTATGAGTTGAAAGTTGCAAATGACTATTATACCTCTATTCTGCAGGATGTTGTGAGCACCTTGCACAAACTAGCTTGCAAAATAAAGAATTTAGAGCTTTCCGACACAGATCAACTGACCAGATCTGTCCTAAATTCAATACGTTGCCCGTGTCAGGAGAAACCGGTAAGCACATTCATTTGTTGAAATTGTAAAAATGTAGATGCACATTCATAATGAATGTAGTTTTTTGTGTTGAATTTGACAGGGACAGCAGCAAGGTGACCAACTCAAGAATCAAATTCTTTGAGTTTCTCAATGTAAGATGTTGGCATAATTTCATTTAAAAAGTCAGTGGAATATTGACAGGCTGTAGTGTTTCACATAGCGGGTGACTCACTGTAAGGTTACATAGCCGGTCGGCTGTGTGAATGTATCCAAACACGAGACTATTTGTTTCCCACACAAGTTAACTTGGCGCCAGGCAGTGACAAGCTACAACAGAAAATGTTACGAACAGAAGGTGATATTGACATTATGCTTCTTTGCACTGCAATAAGGTTTGGAAGCAGGGACTAGAAATAAACCATAACGTAGATGTGTGGTGGTTACTCTGGGTCCATTTTCAAGTGAAGGTTTTCAGGAGTCTGAGTCACACTGAAATGCAACAAAAATAGTTCAGACGTTTCCACATTTACTCGTTATCTCATATTTGCTCACTGTGATGCAGTAAAAAACAGGTTGGGATTATCGTTTTGATATTCCCACGCCCTCCTTACCCCCTGGGTCAGTTAAGTACTTCATTTTGAACAGGATCAGAATCAGATCTGATGAATCAGGCTCATGTTTGAGGTCTGAGTCATACTTTGGAGCAAAACAGGGCCTCTTTAGAGCCTCAGGCCTCACCAGACCAGCACAGGTTTAAAATACTGACACACACTGCAGCATGCTTAGTTTTGTACCCTTTTAAGCCTGTACCTTGATTTGGATCAAGCTTTTGGAACTTTGACCGAGCCGAATATACGGCAGAAGCAGAATGGTTTTCTGTGATTATAGTCAGGTTCATATTTTGATTTGTCCTAGACAGACTGTGGCATGAGCCTTGTTTCACTTTATACTGATAAGGGATAAACATTCAGTTTATAATACAGCATTATCTTCATGAGATCATAGGACTACACTCGACGCTAATTAGCACGTGTGTTGACTTCTATTGACTAGACTAAAGAACCCAACGCGAAGCCGAAGAGGAGGAGGACAGCAACGAGACAAAGGAGAAACGAGCCGAGAAAAAGCAAGGAGACGAGAAAACTTTGCAGAACCAAAGCAATCCTGTCCCTTATGACTACATGCTACGAGATGCTGAATACTATGACCGCCTGAGACCAAACTACAGCACGTTGTTGAAGCAAAAAAAAACTCACACATCCTGCCTGTACTTATGTAGTCCTTCATTGGATTATACAAGAGGAAGCTTCCTTCATTTAAGCTACCCTGTCACGTACCAGTATATCCCTTCTGCAGCTGTATTTGATCCAGTGGCCAAGTGTCCAAGCTGCACAGGCACAAGCTATTAAGCCAACTGGGGGGAAAAAAGTTCCAAGGCCAGCCAACAAACTGGACTATTATACACACGGCTTAGTGTCAACTGTGTGATGCATATACCCCCCACTACTGCCCAAAATTCCCAAGAATGTGTTATGGACTGCTTGCACGGGGCACAGCATAAAGAAGCTTAGATGATGGAGAGTGTGTTCAAAAGAGAAACTGTTTTCTAAGGTTTAAAGTTGCAAATGTAGCTACACCTATTTTGTAAAGGCAATTAGATTGTAAAGAATATGCTATGACATTTACTTGCACTTAGCGATGACTGCTCAAGCGTGACCAGGACATATTAAGGTGCTTGAACACAGTTTTGCTTTCACTTTGGATAAGAATGACTAGCCCTGGCACATATTTGTTATCTAAAGCTGCTTTGTTTTTTTTGTCTGGGGAGTTGTTTTAGGCTGTGTGTCAAGTCATCTTTTTCAGATGGCATTATGTTGATTAATCATTGAGCATGATTGATACTTTAAAAGCACATTCTGCCACAGATGGCTTAGTTCAGCTCACACACCTGACTTTTAGCTTTGGAATACTCTACGAAGCTTCCGTATCACATTGTGTTGCTTTGATTAATGGTACCTGCCTAATTAAAAAAAAAAAAAAAAATGTATATATTTATATGAGGAATGTACCATAGCTTGGGGAGCAAAAATGCTGATGTCTCACATTTGTTGTTTTTCATAATTTTTAAATATTTGTTGGTTGCAAAGTAAAAAAACAAACCAACATTACCATTTAACCTTTGCCCCTAATTCCAGCTTCAGTGCAGCAGCTATTTTCTTTAATGGACATACATAATGCTAAGCTAATTTCCTTGATGTATATTTGTTTTAAAGCACATAAAGCAGTGACTATTATATATGATCAATGGCATATGTATTCCAAATATATTTATTCTAAAACAATGTAAAGCCATTACTTTGTTCTTATTACTCTGAATGATCCACAGTATTGCAGAACTGTAACGTGTTCTACTTCCTCTCTCTTAAACAGACACTCACACAACTCTATAACAGCTGTCATCATAGAAATTTATTGGTGGTGGATATACAGTACATGGCATTAAGTGCACAACCGTACCCAGGCTAACAACTGTTGTAATCAGTCCAGGTAAACACACCTGTCCAGTCTGTTTCAACATTTCTCATCATGTAACAAATAATTTGCTTCTTGGAACTTGGAACACATGCCTTACTTCTCAAACGATTCAACATTTATTACAATATTCACTGTTAATGAACAGTAATGACAACCTAAGTAGAGGCATCCCTCTAAATGGTCCCACCTGCAAATGAACTGTGTGGGGGTCATACATAGTGTCTGTTATATCAAGCAGAGATATCAAACCTACCTGTACAGAGCATTTAAAATGACGGTTGTAGTGTTACTGTACTGTTGACTCATTGTACTAAATACCTTAATGAATTGAATACTGCTTCAATAGAAACACTGTCAAATAGAAAGCAACTGCAACACCCCCAGGTGCATTTAGGTTTCATACAAATCCGAATAAAAACACATTTTATTTGTGTAGAGTGTTAACAAAAAAGGTGCAGTCATTGTTCATTCAGTACAAATGAAAGGGAATTATAAAATAAATAACTCATTACAATGTATAAAATTAGTGGGAATAAAAGTGGGTTTGAGTTAATGCTACATTTGTCTAGAAATGTCAGGCCTATGGTGGTAACATTGAGATAGCTGGAAACAAACTTTGCATGTAAAGTGAACTTAAAGGGAGCACTGACATTTAACAGCTAGTTCATTTTTTGGACTGGTCCCTGTCAAAACAAGGTGATATCCTTCCAAAATTCCAACACATTTCCTTTCAAAATCACATAGTTTTCATCAGTAGTCAATCATATTGCACTTCATAACGAACATATTCTGTTTGTGAGGAAGCAGGGGCAAACGGGATTAATGAATGTATTTCAGATCACGGTTGACTGGGGACTGAGATACAGGGGCCACCATACACACCTCTAATGAGTCACCCAACAATTTTCCTTTACTTCCTTTTTCACATTAACAACCCGCATCTTAGTTGTTATCTACTTTCTTACTCATCTCTTCTCTAACCTCATCAAAGGAGGCACCAATAGCTTTGAATCATTGATACTGAAACTGCTCTGTAGGGTAATTATTATTATTTATTGTCCAGTGACAATAAAATTAAGTTTTTGTAATAATACAGACTCTAGTTTCACGGCAATAATGTTCATGTGTATGAGCTGGTGGAAACAGCAGTAATGTTTTAAGAAGGGAGCTAATTAAAAGCTAATGAGCTTCGTGGTTATTTTTTATGTCAGCCATATCAGCTACTGATAAAACAGTTTTACAAAACTTTATAACAGATCAGTTCACTGCCGAGATCCATCAGCCTCCAGTCTAAATAAATCACAGTAACTAAATGCAAAATGTATTGTAGATGACAGTTGTTACATTTGTGTTTGAAAATGGCAGGATTTCTACTGTTTAAACTAAATGTACAGTATTCAGAAAAACTGCACAAAAAATTTGATATTACCTAACTATAGTAACCCCTAGCCTTAATAGCTTGATTTGGATTTACTTATTGGTATCATGGTCCATACAGTTAAATAGACCAGCAAGACTGAACATTTAGAAAAGAAAACACAGCACCGTAGGGTTGTCTGTCGATTACAACACTATACTGCTGTGAAATTAGACCCAAGTGTGGAAAATACAGACCACAAACTATGTTTTACAATTCTTATCAGCTTTGGTGAAACTCTCTGATGCTAGTTTGAGTAGCGGTGCATCCATACTTTCTTACAGAGTCTCCTTCTTCCGACCTTCTGTCAGATACACATCCTTCTGACACCGCACTCACAGCAGAATTTGGCGGATTCAACAGGATACTTGGTCCCACAAGCATGACAGAACTTGCTCCTCACCCCGCCATTGCCAACTTCATTCCCGCCATCAATATCATTCCTGGGAAATTTGACAAAGTTAACAAGCAAGTTCAGAAACTACGTACAGGAAATTGTTAATAATGATATTTGACAGGGCGCCCCATGTAGGGCTGGTGATATTATTAATAATGTTAATGGTTCTAATGGGTATATATAAATAACAACCTGCTATATGAGTATTATATAAGTCATGAGATAGACAACATTTTTTAAATCCCTTGAAGTGGATGAGGTAAATGTTTTAGTGTTGAGATAATGTAACGTATAGTAAGTTGAAATGCCAGTTTGATGCTAAAATGCTTAAACTTTGCCACAAGGCGTATTGAAAAAGCACTTCATTCATGTTGATTGTATACACACATTTTAGCTTAATTTAAAATGAATGAAATTAAGCTTAATTTAAAATTGAATAACAGGCAATCAAATCACCTAAGTAATCAGCACCTGGAGCTGTAATAAAACATAAGTTATGCAAACTGTACAGTAACTTTTGTTTAAGGTAGGATTAGGAGACTTATAAGTCTCAGTCATAACAAAGTAAACCAGAAAAACTAAATTCAAATGAAATATAATGAAATTTAATTGTAATTATTACAGACTGTAAGTCAAAGTAGAGGTGATTTTTTTTTAAATTCTCTAAGCAATATTTACATAACATGTTTACACAACAATTTACAGAATGGACTCTCCAGCTGTATGCAAAACACCAAAAAACCACAAGAGGTCAGGGTTGTTTACAAAGACTATTTGGTTGTTGTATTATTGTGCCTTTCATTCATTCTTGCATAAGTACTGGCTCACCTAGATATGTAGGTGTCTACTTTCTTCTTGTTGAGACCTATTCCAGATGGAGTGTTCCTCACAGATCCAAGGCCAGAGCTCAGTGCTCGGGTCTTACTTCCCACACTGAGAGGGAAAACATAAAGAGAAGAAAGACATGGATGCATAAAATGCAAACTTTGGAGGGCAGGGAGGGCTGTAAAGACAGATCTAAGCTTTACACTCACATTTGAGCTGACACAATACTCACAGATGTGCCATGATATGCTTATGATGCCATGAGTTAAGTCACTTATGCTGTTAATATCGTCTTCCTATCAATAACAAGTAGTTGCCAGTAAATATAACCAACGCAGAAACCACATATTAAATGGCTTGGTGACAGTACATTAACATACTTTTTTTTTTCTCATAATACATGGTTAGTATTATTTTAAAATGTAACAATTACATCATTACTGAGCTAAAGTGAATTGAACAATGTAAAGTAAATGTGTGTGCGTACACTGACCCTGATGGAGGGCTTGTGAGTCCAGAAGGACTACTCCTCACTGAACCTGCAGAAGAGATTTTACTAGATGGGATTCCTAAGGCAAAGAGAGAAAAAAAGAGAGATTGACAAAGGGACATTTGCATTTTACTGCAGTCTATGTAGTAACTTGTGTCATTTTTAAAAATCTGTAGCTGTGCCCTTACCAGTGGGCTGTCCGAGGCCTGATCTCTGGGGTAAACGAGAGGAGGCTGAAGGGATGGTTGACGCAGCAGGAGTGTTGGTTTTCTTTACAGAAGCAGGAGGCTTGAACTAAAGACACAGTGAGAGGCAAGGGGGAAATAAATAAGTACATAACACAAAACAACAGCTAATATCAAGTATGGTTCAAAAATATATCCAAACGATGGTTCTGCTTTACAAACAGGTTGTGAGTAAGAAAAACTGAGAAAGCTATAAAAATGGAAAAAATAAGCAACTGATCCATAACAAATATAAAAAACTTTACTCTACCATGGAAACCTAAGTGACATAAAATGCAGTGGCCAATGTTTTCTTATTATTATGGAAAAAGCAGAACTGCTAACCATAATGGTTTGGACCCTGCTGTTTTTATTTGCTGCCAAATTAACTCTCCATAGCTGTTGCTAAGTGATAGTATTACTTCCACACCCGCTGCCACGGTAATAACAGACAAAGATGTATTGTTATGGAGTTACAAACAACAGTTCATAATCATAAATGATTGGCAAGAACATACAAAAGAATAGTCATTAGAAAAGAAAGCTATTTTCATTATGAGAAAGAAAGTTGTGAGCAACAACTTACCTGTGTGCATGGACATTTTGGATATTTTTTTATAGTGCATGTTTAAATGTTATTAATCAAGGTAAATTTAATACAATACTATGTGTTATAAACAAATGTACCAGCACTCTTTTTGGAAAATTCAACCAAGGTCACCTGAAGCCAAATAAAGATTCTAACAAAAACACAAATTGTCTGTCTGTGTGCACAGTCTGTGCATGTGTGTACCTGTGTGCGAGCAGGAGGCTTCTTGGGATCTCCTAATTTGCTCTTGTTGGGCATACGAGCGGCCTGCTCCTGGCAGAACTTGATGTGTCTGTCAGCTGCACTCTGGTTGAACCGCCGCTGACAACAGGGACACTGGACATAGTCTAAAGACGAAAACGGGTGGTGAGAAAATATACTCGTAACTGTACCTATTGTAAATCCTGTAAGTACTGCTGTGTGGGGATGATCTGATTTTGTACTTATTGTTTATTTGTTTTTCTTGCAACTCTAAACTCAGTAAGTTACACCTACTTTACTGTGCCAATAAACTGACTCATGCAAGCGACTGCTCTAATCTGCTAACATGGGTGGCGAAATAAAAGGCAAGACATTCTGCCACGCACGCCCTGCTCAGGTGTTTAGGGTTAGGGTTAAGTGTGAACAAACCGTAATACAATTGATTCCACTCTCCATAGAGGGACACGTTACCTGGGTCATAAGTAGGAGGAGGAGGTGGGGGTAGTGGTCCCCCATCCTTCATGACTTGAGTGAGGACCTTGGCAGCGCGGATGGTAGCAATGAAGTCCTCATGTTTCTTGCGCCAGTTGGATGGCTTCTTAGGGGGTTCTGCCTGGCAGGAGGCAACACATAGGAGATGCTCTGTTACACCAGCATGTTTGATTCACCAGCTATTGCTGCTGTCATGGTAATCCTTATCACTGCCCGCCTGATGTATTTTCAGAACTTGAAATGAATGTGTCCTCATTATTTATGAGCTTACTCAAATATATTGGATGTTTTTAAAATAACGTCCACTCCTCTCTCTTTTTGGTGAGAGCTAAAAGTAAGAAAATGTTACAAAGGCACCAGGATGCTCAATAACCAATTGTTATCTGAAATGTTCTCTTGACCAAACTTTAATGATTATGTTATTATTTCACTCTTATTTAGGCCCTGGAAATTCCTGTAATTCAAGTCATGGTTTGACAGAAGCTGCAGCTCTCAACAACACGCACCAGACTCTCATTACTAACCAACTTTAATTCCATTCAGCCATGACTTGTTAAAAGAAAAGTCCTGTTTTTCTATAGTGGCAGTCTGTGTCTTATCTAGAGCTGATGATTTCTGACAGATTTAGTTCACCGAGCGTCCTCTGTCCTCCACCGAGCTGCTTCTGTGGCAACACGATAGCCCCACTGACATCCTGTTTCCTCTTATACAGTTACAGTCTTCAAGTTCATTAAGCACGTTTGTCTCACAAACACAGATGACTGAGACAACTAAAGCAAATTTGACTTAATTTGCTTTAAATGCACTGTTTACAATATAATGCTAAGACCTAAAGCATTATGCATTTCTATATAATCTAATATTCTGACAACTTGACAACATGCATGCATCATGTTGGGCTCATTATTAAGGACAAATTGCAAATGATGTGATACAGAGAGAAAACTAGAAGTATGTCCTGTTTATGCCTTCAGAGGGAGGACAAAGTGAGTGTGCAGCTGCAGACAATAGAATTGTTGTAGCCGTTTCTTTTTTCCTTTGGTCAGCTGTCAATAACAGACAACCACTCCCAGCCTCACTGAAACCAAAACACTGAGACACAAAAGAACGAAACTCTTCTAATTCATACATAGTAGTTTTAATCTTCCGACTGCAGAGAAATACGTACAAATCCGAAATACAAAGGGTGTGAATTAATGAATCCAAACATTTCTTCCAGCATAAACGTTTAAACCCCAAAATGTACTTCCGCAATACAGTTGGCACAAGGAAACACAAGAAAACTTTCTGGCTAGAGATGTGACAACATCACTTGAACAGTCTTCCACAGAAAACAACTACCTTTTTCAGTGTAAACTGAAGGAGGATCCGGACAAATAAGAATTAAACTCTGTGTCTAACTATACAGATCTTACCACAGGTAACTAACTGCTAACTGTGCAATAATAATCTACTAAGTCTAAGTCTAAGGTCATACCACATATACCAAACAGATCCTGAATACATGAAATAATAATACAGTATGGCTGGTTTGAATAAAATAAACATATCTAATATAGAAAATTAAAAACATCTAGAAAATACAACATATCATGCAAAACACAATTTCCTTTGACAGAGTACATTTAAATGGTTTACTCAGAGTGGCCTTAAGTGCCGTGAGACTTCATGACAACCTCTATGAAGGTAGTGCCATAAAGAAAGCTCTGTGGTTTTAAGGTGAGTTCTGAAAGAGTAAGAGTCTACAACAGGTTTTAAAAAGATTTAGTGCAGCTTGAGAAGATAGAGGTCAGACTGTCAGCACAGTAATGGTTAAAGAAAATGAAAATATAATGGTATACATTCAAATATCTTCAGTTGTCGAATGTGGGGATGTCAGGGACATACCACAGATTTAGTGTTTTTTTTAATTATACGACCACTGGTATAAGCCAATGATTGAAAGCAAGGAAAACAGTATTTATAAAGCCAGAAACAGTGAGTGAATGCCTCTTGGGCGTCAGGAGATAGATTCAAAATCCAGTATACAGAAAGAAAGGACAAATGAAAAAAAGACAAATCAACTTACTTTCTCAGTAGAAGATGAACTTTGTGACTGAAATACAAAAGTTGAAAATAACTTGCCAACACAGAATACTGAATGTCCTGAATGGAACAGCAAAGATTACAAACATGAGCTGTTCACCACAGTAATGATAGGGGCTGAGTGTATTTTAACAGCTGATTCTGTTCGAGGTTCCAGTGACCTATGTCGAATAAAATTATCGCAATTGTTCAGATGAGCCAGAATAAACAAGGTTATAAATATGGCAGCAGCTCTACTGTATTGAGCCGTGTGGCCAACTGGGACATGCGATATTTATGTGTTACCTAGCAGTGCCAGACCATTAACTCTATGCCTTGTATTGTAAATATGTATAGTGAATAGATGAACGGTCCAGGTTAAGGATAGACGGATGGAAATGACCTTAAACATATAAGACTATTTAATGACGATGTTTCGAAGGACGTGAAATTCAGCTTAAATTCATCACGTTTTTTTCAAATTGAACACTCTTGACATTTTGTGTTGGCGCTTCCATACCCCTCCCAAGGTGTAGTCTTACCTTTGGTTTAATGGGTTTGAGTGTTGGGATGTCTGTGCCCTCTGCTCTCTGTCTGCTGGAGTCAAAAACCTTCCTCCTTTTGGTTGTTGACTTTTGGCAGATCTTAGCATGCTTCTCCTGTAGAAGGGGAAAAGAGATGCACAAAGCGCAGCGACCCCACACCATAAAATCTGTTTCTACATGTTTTGGAAACACGTCATTTGACATGTATTTGTGTTTTTTTTTGAAAGAGGTAAGTCAAGCATGATTTCCGTGACAGACAGCTGAGAAGTAAAGAAACACTTATTTCGAATAAAATCAACACACTATAAATGTTTTCATGTAACATTAATGACATAAGTCCAATCTACTGTTGTTGTTGTTGTTTCAAACCTAACCCCCTAATGCAGACACAAGCTGCAAACATCTCTACACAAATACCCACATGCCAAAAAAAAAATAATGCTCTTAATGCATCATGCATTAATGTAGCCATCACATGTACAAAATGCCTTGCACAACAATCTGTCCATTATAAAGAGGTGGGGTATGTCAATAAAGCTTGCATCTCATTGTTAATAGCGGTGACTTTTAAACAGATTTAAATCCACAAACCCTGCATTTCTTTTTTCAGTTTGATTCTTTGGTAACAAATTCCATTACATAACAACCATTATCTACAATCTGCACTCAAATTTGACAATACATTTTAACACTACAGTCGATCCATAGTCATGCTTTTAAATCATTTAGTCTAAAATCCTTAACATTTGCTTTACTACTTCATTAGAACCCACCCGATAAAGAGCTTTTCACTTGTCTTACTGACTATTTGGATCATAGCCAATGACACAACCCAACAGCTGATACCATGTCAGCTGACTGTGGAAAATATTGTCACCACAGCACACAATAACAACACAATAAAACCATCTTTTTAGCAAAAGTCTCAAAATGTATCTGAACTAAACCAACAGCATCATCTTCAAAATGTGTCTGCTCTACCTTTCTTCTGATTATTGCACATTACATTACATTACACCTGAATTAAGGTATGTTAAAAATGACCAAGGAGGGCTTATTTTTTACCAGGACTTTGGGGAAGAAACATCTTTTACAGGTGTTGCATTGAACCAGTTCCTCAGCAGAAGGAACATCACTGTCTGCAAGGATAAGAGATTCAATTCAGATTTCATGAAAAACAGAAATGGATGACCTTATTGTCTTATTGACAAAATGAGCATGTGTAGACAAACACTGAGTCAGTTAACGTTATATCATGCCTAATAGTTGATGGTAAACGCTTACTTTCACTCACATAAATGCTGTTTTGGGCACTGTTGTTGTATAACGACAGGCTGTAACACCTAACGGTCCTCTGCCATGTTTATTTAGCGAATTCATGCCAAGGTTCATTAGTTAGCACTATGCTAGCACTAATGCAGAGATCACACCCATTCAGACACAGCCAGTAAGTAGCTAGCTTCATCTTTGGCCCTGACGTTACCTAGCATTACTTGGGCTAAATCCCAAACAAAAAAGAGGTCGCTGACAAAAAACTGGCAAGCTAGAGCAGTAATTTGGAAGGATAAAAACGGAAAGGTTGCGAGCTCTACTTTGCCACAACACTGCTAAAATGAACGCCTGGAAGACAGTTTGTCTCACCTTCAAATTCTTCCATCATTAGGTTATCTCTTGTCTGATGCTGCTGTTGTTACAGACGGTCAAAAGCAAACAGCGGAAGCAAGAGCAGTCACTCCTGCCCACTTCCTCTTTCGCTAATCTACAATTTGTGAGAAATGTCTCATTTTCTCTACAATACATGCGGATAGTACAATATGTTTGGTCTTTGTAGGTCACTGGTGAGGTTGTGACAACTACACATTTTGCTTGTTTTAGCAGGTTTCTGTCGTATGTGCGCCATTTTATTATGCCTCATGTTATGGGTTATATTACGAGGGTTTCCTCTTACATTTCCTTCATTTATAGCTCAGCTAGATACCATTTTAAATAATTACTGATTCATTTTAAGTTTGCAGGCGCTTGTACTTCATGTGTCATTATAATTCAGGTCTAACAAACAATGGATTTCATAGGCTGGGATTGAAAACGAACTATCTTGACATTACTGATCTTTGGCTACCAATGGCAACTGGCCCGTGTGATGCCGCTTCATGTGCCAACATCTGAGCATTTCATTGGTTGTTACTGCACGTTTGGAATGAATGCAGTGTGTACTTTGAACAGTGGTGGGGTGTGGGAGGCAACCTGATCTCTTCGGTTCTCACCATTATTCCCACATATAGCATTAAAATAAGCCAATTAAAGCAATCACTTTTAACATTTTAAAATCAGATAAGGAGTCTCTAATTTGACTGAAATCTAGTCAATTCTGGTGCTGCGAGGACAGAACAGTAACTTTACATTTAATGAATAGAAGAAGTGTTATAATTCCCAGCCTCAATAGTGGTAATATTCAGATAGTTAAAGTAAATCTTCATCTTTCCCTCTCATAGGCTACACCTTTACCACAATACAAGGTCTGGCCAATCAACTTGGACTGGTAACAGAGAACAATGAAACTAGTGTTTGCCCTTGTTAGCTCAAACACTTGCCCAGAGCTCTCGGAAGTTTCCCAGTTTGGCATATTGAGCACATGTGTCATCTCAATGGAGTAATTCACAACCAGATGCTATGAGGCCACAGTAAATGTGTTGAAATTGAATGGCTATTTCCTCTTTTCCTCCATCACAACAAGATCAGTGTTCTCACACTAACACTCTGCTCTCTGTGATCTCCCTCTGTTTCTCTCTCTCTCTATCTCTTTCTCTCGATTCAAATGGGCTTTATTAGCATACACACACACATAAGTGCCCTGTCTGTTCATCTGTCATCTGACCTTTTGGCTTTAATAGAAAATGTTAGGGTAGTGGTCCTTCTGGGTTGAAACTCAGTACACGTGTACAATTTGAGTTTTTTTTTCAGAAATGGAGCAAAAATGCCTCGTGGCAGCCATTTTACTTTATACCATCACCAAATTATCATCATGGAGAAGTCATAATTCTGTTTTAAAACATCTTCACCTGTCCATCAGGAAGAGCCAAAGTACCAGTATCAATGATCCAGAGTCTGTCATAAAACATACAATTAAATAATCAAACAGAGATCAAAGAGTCAGTCTGGCTGCTTTATATTGATTTAATAAGGATGGCAGTGTGTCTGACAAAAAGGATCACATAACCTTTACATGGAACTTCAGTAGTGGCGCCAATCTTTAACCCTCTTTTTACTTTTAAAGTTAGAAAATAAATCCAATCACAAATCACATTAAATAATATTTTAATTAATTAATTCCTTTCTACTCATACCATATTAGCCTTTTCAAATGTACTGATAACCATACATATCACTATTATATTGGCCTATTTTTACCAATAAATGTGTTTAATGGATGAAAGTAATAATTTGATATAAATAAGTATACTAGTGGAAGTACAGGTAACGTGATGCAAGAAGTTAATTTCAAGCCCTGACATACCGGTAAGTAACATGCTGTATTGTACTTCAAAAATAAGGGCTTTATTTTGAAATGTGTACCCGGAAGCTCGGAAGTGTATGGCACCGTATTGACGTTGGGACACGCTCTTTCGTGAGCGCAACGGAGAATACCGAAGTGGCTTTCAAGCTGATGTGATTGACACCTGCGAGTATTCGGAAGCCCATTAACCAAACCAGGTACCCTGCTGATAATAATAATAACAATAATAACAATAATAATAATAATAATGCTCATTGTAGAAATATGGCTGTGGATGACTGGCATCGTAATTCCATGTGTAACGTCCATATCCATGCAGGCTGCTTCTACTGCCACTGACTGAGCTCTATGGGGGTCTTTGTCATTAGAGAAAGAGATGGCTGTTTGATTAATTGAAATCAGTTTGAGCATGTCGATCCTCCTGCGCCATTAATGCCATGTCTTAATGTAAGTCTCTGTGTCAACAATGCAAGTGATTTATTATGGGACTCCATTGCGCACGACTCCACTTGATGCGCTGCAGCGCCTCCACTTAAATGTAGGAGGACATCAATTATTTAGACCATAAAGGTTTTCATTGGACTAATGACAGCTCATATAGGACCATGGCAAGGGCATTTTAAATCACTCAGATAATCCTGTCATAATCCTATAGCCTATAGAAATAACGCATATCAAACTTAATGTGTGAGCTCCTACTGAAATGGAACTGAGGTAATGGTCATACTTGGGTGTACAATTCTAATTTTTCTAAGTGGCTGTGTAGGAGTGTAGTGTGTGTGTGTGTGTGTGTGTGTGTGTGTGTGCATGAGAGAGAAATATAGACAGTGTAAGTAACGCCCAGGCCACCTAGAATAACACTGGCACAAGTTTTTCTGGGACTCCATTCCTGCACTCCCCTCATCACTGCCACACTCACTGCTCATTTTCTGTTTTGGCAGCACAACAAATCAAATGGTTGCAGAGCAGGAGCAGCCACCTTTCACTTTTCAGTGATTGACAAAGAGGCTGAGCATGCTAGCCTCTTGTATTATTCAGTGATTTGATCATTTGTCTGTGCTACATGTGTTGTTTTTCAGGCCGGCTGAGCTCTGGTTCCCACATGGGAGCAAAGCCATAAGGACACCATGCTCCGCAACGCACACAGACACACACACCCACACACACATACACCCTGCTTACTTTCTGATGTTCTACTTCATGAGAGCAACAATGTGACTAAATTATGTAAACGGTAAAATTAATATTTCATAGATTATGAGCAGAGGAAACATAAATGTTCTGTCACTTTTAGCTACAAATAAAGCATTTCTTCAGTCTCAAACACATTCACTGCCAGTAACAAATGAACTTAATGAATTAGTAATGGTTACAAATAATCCGTCAAAATTAAATGTACTTATGTTGACATATTTTGTCTGTGAGCATAGAGCTTTATGTTCCATTTAAACAAATCTTGTGCCTGACCATATGTATGAATCTGAGACATCACTCATAAGACTAATCAGCACTAATTATTTACCAAAAGAGGCGTCCCTGTAAAAGCACTCACGCAGACCTTCATCAAAATCCAGCAATACATTGTCTTTAGTGACTCAGAGTCACTGTTTGACTCTAAAATTATGCACTTATTCTCTGTTTTTAAATTGGAGAAAAAGTCATCTTGTGTCTCTCGCTCCCCCATGTTGAGGCTGAAAGCTGCACATGGACAACATCTGTTGGGTCTTGCCCGTCTTGACACCATTTTGAGAGTGACAGCTGAGTGGGAGCGTGCTCAGATGATGACAGAGGAGGCATCCAAAAATAGCCGTGGTCAATCACAGCTTGCCCAGCTCTGGAAATAGCCACAAATGCATGTGGGAGTTGAGGTCATTTTTTTTTTGTTGCAAATTTCCCTCTTAGTTTAAACTCCAATATTTAGACTGGAGTAAAACCAAACTACCCTTTGAGTGCCCAAGGGCATATGAAATCTCAGAAAAGCAAGTTTTTCTTTCTACTATTATACATCATACAAGTGCACATATTAAACATGGATACAAATCTCAGACTGATGGATTGTACTTAGTGAAAATGGGGCAGGGAAGCCAGAACCTGCTCAGTGCTTAAGGGCAGCCTCACCCAGGCAGATTGTTAGAATCTCAACAGAGGGGTTTAACCTAAATCTCCGTGGCAACACAGCTCTGATCGTGAACCCATGCTTACCCCAAGTGGGATGACATTTGAATACAGTGCTGTCCTCCTTTGTGCCATAATTACCCCCTTGAGTGTGTGTTTTTGGTTGCTGTATTGCATCAATTCAAGAGCACCCTTATTTGTGTTCCCACTCCACTGCCCAGTGTTCCTTCTGCAGAATTTGTTTTCTCTGAGTCACTGGTGTCGCCTGTACCCTAGACTGAGATTAAAATAGATTAATCGGGGATTAGGTCATAAAATAAGAGGAGGGAGGGATGCATTGAATGAGTGCATAAGGAACCCACTGTGTCACTTTCTTCATGTCAACATAAACTGCAGATGCGTCCATTGTGCAAAGCTGCTTAGAACAAACCGCACAAATTCCCAGAATTTCAGTTGTTTTCCTAAAGAAAATGTAGTGGGTGTTCAGTTGTGAGCGTGTGTGTGTGTGTGTCCATGTACACCTGTGCTTGTGGTAAGTGTGTGCAGCTGTGTGTGCCAGGCCCTGCTATGGTGAGGTGTGTTAGCAATGACGGATGTGGAGGCGACCTACGAGGACTTCATCGCCTCACAACGGTCCGGCCGCAGGAACGCCATCCATGAAATCCCAGCAGCCGCTGGAGTGCAGGGACCCACTGACCTGTCACAGAGTCTGGCACAGCTCAACATCAACAAGTCAGGTGAGAAACATCCCATATTTTCACGGTGGGCACAGCAAAAAGTTAAATACCGACAACTTGGAATAATTTGGTGTGATTAGAAAGGATAATTAATATACTATAGCTTGTAATTGTTGGAAAATGTTGTTTCAATTGCATCTATCAAGAGTATGCAGGGTGCATGGTCAGTGGACAGAACTACCACTAGAGGGCAACAAAGCCTGAATGTTTTATATAGTGGCTTTAAAATTGATATTTATGGTAAGAATATAAAAGAAATTCACTGCCAAGGGAGAAAAAGTAGTAAAAAAAAAAGAGTTCCCCTCCACTCAAAAAATGTGTTTTGCTTATTGTTACTTGACTTCAGTTTGCAGAATGATTTATGTACAGATTTTGACACTAGATAACTGTTTGTGAAAGGGAAGTTTCTCTGTGCTCGCCTTAAATCTGAGTTTAAGACGTGTACTCACAAGATGATTTTGCGACATCACACCTAGTTTTGAAGTCAACCGGGGTCCAGTATGCAAGTGTGTAATGCAGAAACCTGAAACCTCCAGTGCACATACATGGTGGAGACTCATGGCCAGCAGTTTGCTTGCTCTGACTGATTTGCCCTAATCATTTGCCTCACTGAGTTTTGGAGTTCAGTTCTGCCTCATTAAAAGAGTTATTCAAGTAGTTCAGTGCCAGAATTTACGCATGTGGTCTGTCTGCACTTGTGCCCTGTTTAGCAATGTTACAGATTTTATGTTGGCTGGAAGGAATTTGAAACCATCAATTTTACATACAGTATATAGTTTATTTCTGTCTTTCTGTTTCCAAATGTGTCTTCCTTTGGTCTACTTTACGTATGATGAATTCTGATGATTTATGAGTTGGTTCTTGGCTGGTTCTACCTTGCTGACTTCTGTTCTTGCTGTTTTCATGGTGACATGGTACTCGCTGATCCGACCAACCTCATTCGCATCGCTGACTTTGCACATAGTAACTTATGCATGAAACTGACTGTCTGTCTCTCTCCGTCCATCCTTTTCTCTGTCTGTCAGGTGATGAGGGAGAAGACACTAAGAAAAGCCAGGACTCCTCAGCTAAAGAAAAGGAGACTCAAGCTGAGGGCAGCTAAGCTGACATTTGTGGGCCGCTTCTTCTTGTTTACCTGATCCCTGAATGCTAGGCCTCTAACCGGCCAGTTGCATCTATTGACTATGAACAGACACAGCAAAATCCTCTACTGCCACCATCCCGCCATCATGAAGTCATCACAATGGCAACCACAGCGCAGTTTCTCTTCTCTGCACTTGGGGGTGTTCCAGTCTCCTTAAAAACCCTCCTTTCCTTGCTGCCTTTCCTTCCTGACTGCTGATATGAGATTGGACCTGTGGACACAGCATGATGTCAGCAACCAAAACCAGCCCTATTTGACTGGCACTGGTCCTGAGAGCAAAAGAGAGAGGGAAAAAAGAGGCCATTTGGGTTTTTTTTTTTTTTTTAGGGGCAAGCTTAAGTGTTTCCACTGAATTAAAATGTCGCCATTCAAATATTCATTGTGAGACTGGCTTTAATTCTTGCAATAGTTTTGGAATTACCCTCACCATACATCTTATGTAAAACTAAATCTTGCTTGGTTACTACTAAGTATAGTTAATCACATTTAGTCATCCTGCTCATTGTCTGTGGCTATTATATGGAGGAAGTCTTCAGTACAAGGAGTAAAGGTTTCATACAACATACAAAAAGTGTCCATATTTTAATGTCCTGGTTCTCCTAGATCAGTACACTGCCGTTCAGCAGTATATCCAAATTTGTGTCTGTTAGGAAGTGCTTAAAATGTGATTTGGTATACGGTGGATATTGTGACAGAGAATTAATTTGCTGCTGAAGATTAGAAAAGGTACAATATTGATTGCACTCATTTATAATGTATTATATTATTGTTAATTAGAAGGTTTCTATGTGTGTGTTTTTTCTGTGTTATGAGGAGTCTGTTAGAGTGATTCTTGTTGTGATTACACAGACATTGCATTTTCCATTCCTCCTGTCATTTAACCTTTCATTTTGACCTTCGGAAACCTCTCGATACTATAATGGTAGCTACGATTCACTGCCTTTTTCTGTTGTACCATTCAAATATGTGGATGTGCACTCTGAAACTGTCTATCTGGAATTCATATAACACTGAAATAGTGACTTGTTGATGAATGACTTGTTAAAGGGGTAAGGGGCATTTTTTGTATTTATAGATACTTATACATTGAGTCAGGTATAGTGTGATTTAATGACCAGTACTGTTGCACTGTAGGTGACCTAGAGCACCCACGATCATGTTGTATTTTCCATATTTTTATTTTCTGCATCTCATTCACTGTATTGTCAACTTTACTGTATAATTCACCCATATTATATTTTGTCAACTTTATTAGTTTTGATGGTAATTAAATCTCATTTGGTGAAAGTGAAAAAAAAATAATAAGTCAGATGTCCGTTGTCCTGTGGACAGATAGGGCTGAGTAAACAAGGTTATTGTTTCCCTCTAGTGGTCAACTTTATTATTCAACCACAGAAAAGCCATACCACTGCAATTTTATTTTGAAACGATACGGATGGTATATACTGTGAGTTTAGGTCTCTATAATGGGAAAGATACTGTGTTTGTTGGCCCATGTGATATGTTTGGAGCTCTACAATTATAGGCCAATGTAATGGGATAATGATTATGTCTGGGTTGGTGATTAGATAGTGATTAGGCCTATGTTAAGGATACAATACTGTGATTGCATGTGAAGAGGCACCAGTGCACGGAAAGCCCTGATGCATTCATGGTGAAACAGTACCAAACCAAACTGGATACAATTATTATTGTTACATAATGAGACTCAGATTTAAAGTGTAACTTCTACAACCCTGTAACAGAAACACACAGGGAACTATTTAACCATTTGAGGCTCGTAGAGGCTAACACATTTTCTAGCATCTAGAGGAGCCCCAGTGGCACTGCATTACTTTTTCTCTTCTAAGGGGAAATTTCTGAGGGCATTTCCAAATCAGGTTTATTGCCAAGTAGGTTTTCATATACAAGGAATTTACCTTGGTGTTTTGGTGCATATAAAGCTGTGTCACAAACCAGAGAGGAAACAAATTAGGTTAAGGTGCCAATTAAGTATTTTATCTGACACAAACAAACTTATAATAACTTTTGACAAACAGCATGGTGTGGGGGATCTATGGGTGAGTGAGGAATGTGTAGGCAGCAAAATGACAAAACCTGGAGATGTGGATCCTGGGAGACAGAGATAGAAAATGAGATCAGACTTGCATTTATAGCCTTCAGGGAGGACCACACAGGTGTCACCAAATTAGGGTAACCACCCTCCCTGACAGTCGGCTCCTGCTGGAGAAGACAATTTAGTCTAGTACAGGCAGACTGAGGAGGGGTCATAAAAATAGTAAGTATAAATATAAAGAAAGATAAAAAGCAAGTACTGCAAGCAAAGAAGCATGAATATAAAATAGAAAATTAAATATTCTAAAAGATATGTATACTTTAACTGCTTTTTAAGGAAAGAGCTGTGCAGTTTTTGTGCAGCAATGATAAAATTATTGACCAGGGACTGTGCAAACATTCACAGTATGAAGTATAAAGAATATTTGCAATGTGGGTCTCAAAAAAGTTTCTGTCTGAGGTTGGAGGGGTGGGTTTGGGAGGGTCGGCCACGATCCTGCTCGCCTCTGGGTCCAGGAGGTGTACAGGTCATGGAGGGATGGCAGATTGCTGCCAATCATCTTGTCAGTTGAGCAAATAATAGGCTGCAATCTGCCCTTGTTTTTGGCAGTGACAGCAGTGTACTAGGTGGTGATGGAGGAAGTGAGGATGGACTCACTGATGGTGGCGTACATGTTCACCCTCATTGGCTCTGACAGGTTAAACTTCAGCTACAGCAGAGAGTACATTCTCTGCTCGGCTTTCTTGGTGAGGGAGCTGAGCTGAGGAAGGTATGGGGGTGGGAGCAGCTGGTCTCTTCCTGAAGTCTGCAATCATCGCCACTGTTTTTAGAGCATTGAGCTCCAAGTTGAAGAGCAGAGGAGAAAGAACGCAGCCCTGAGGGGATCTGGTGCTGATGGTCTGGGAGTCGAAAAAGTTTAGCTACCATGGGTTCCTTTTTTTTTGGGACAATCAACATGGCCAGTTCTAATCTGAAATTTGTATTGTAATCGTTGCATTATGGTCAACTATTGCTGACATCAGTCCATTCAAGGTTATTATTGGTCATCCACTACCTTATCTAATAATAAATTCAAGATAACTACATAAATGCCCTGGCTATCAGCTACACTTCCTGTTATTAAATGTCACGGTTCGTTTATGTTCCCTCTAGCTTCTCCTGATCGAAATAGATACTGTGGTTATAG